ACGAGCAGCATGATGATGCTGGAGTGGGAAATGTTTGGCAGCGTTTCCCACCACGTCCATCTAAGTCTTTACATTGATTCAGTGCCTCTTACAAAAGTCTAAGTAAAGCCGTGACTTACAATCAGCACACTTAAGCACTAGCTTATAAAATACTCTGTTGTGTAAAAGAAGAGATGGAGACTGCCTGTGTGCACACACTGCCCTGTACCTAGCCAGATGACTTTCAAGACTTGCTAATACCTGATTGCCATGATGTGCTACTCTTCAAATGGCACTGGCTTCCGAATATTACAGAGATGGTGTGCTGTTTGGTCTTCTCTTTTGTTGTAGCTTAAAACTTTTCATTTTAGCTTAGTTAGATTTTTCAAGAATAGCAACCGTTTTGCTTCCAAGGGACTTGAAGGAAGTTAAATTCAGATGCTTTCCTTTCTTCTTATTTTGTGGACATATTTCCTGTTCAGTAGCAAATCAGTTATAGACTATATTAGCATTGTTATATTTTAAACTAATGACTAATCATTTTAGCTCTATTAATACTGCTGCATTTTATATTTCACAGGGAGCAATAGAAAAAGTGAAAGAAGGTGACAAACTAGTTGCAACAAGTAAAATCACCCCACAAGACAAACAGAACATGGTGAAGAGAGTCAGCACCATGTCTTACGCGCTGCAAGGTGAGATCAAAGCGTCCTTATGAGGTGCTGGTGGAGATTTTTTCCCCCAGCAAAGTTTGCCTTGCTGGAGAGAAATCCAAATGTGAACAACAGTTAAGCAAGTCCCTTGTTTGCAGGATCCCGGTGTTGATGGAAATCTGTGATTTTTATTCAGTTTTTCAGCTGTCTACCTTATGTAGCTATGGATGACAGCTTGATCAAAGCTGCACATTTTATTATTTCTCAGAGACATGGAAGATTCCTGTCGTAATCCGTGATGTCATCATGCTCTGTTAAATGCCAGAGCTCAGCTTTAGCAGTCTGTCACCTGCATGCCTTGGGATCGTGGAATGTGAAGGGATTCGGGTGTCTCATTTTAGGCAGGTTTTTTGTGTTTTTTAAAAAAAAGACATTGATGTGTATAGATTTGAGTGTTTTTGAGCAGATGAGAGCAGCAAATGGATTTTTCCTGTTGGTGGAGGGGTGGATAGCACTGATGTGGGCAGAGGAGAACGGAGAGGGTGTTCGGGTCGGAACAAAAGCCACAAAATCGTGGTGCTAGATTGTGTCATGGGCGTGAAAGAGTAACACATACTTAGAGGTTATTGGGAAGTAAATTTGGATTGTGAAAGAACTTGAAAACTCTAGACTTGATGTGGGTGTTAAGAAGCCATTAAAAGGTTTTTAAGGGAGACAAAAAAATCAATCCTCAAGGGAGAAGGATTTGATAGGTATGGAGGGCGATTGGAGGGTGCAGACACTGTCCCGGAGCTCAGCCAGAAGACCATCACTTGTGTAGTCTGAGCTTTGAGGACCTACAGATGTGGTCCTGGGGAGAAGAGAATGAAGCACGTTCGCAGGCTTTTCCAAGGAGCAGCTTTCAAGACTGGGGCGTTCGTGGGAGAAAGAGAAGGACGAGGGAGTGTCCAGAGCCAAGGCTGCGGCAGCAAAAACAAGGAAACCTGATTGAAGTTTTGGGTTTTGAAGGGTTTGAAATGGGGAATTTGGTTTTGAACTTGTGTTTGAGGTTATCAAATTGATAAATACAAAGCTTTGTACAACTTCAAATAACTGAATGTAAAAGGTAGAGCAGTTTGCATGTCATGGGGATCTGTGCAGACACTGGCTTTCTAGACCTGGAGTGTTTGGGAGAAGATGGCGTGGGAGGCGTCCGAGGGAGGTGATGAGGCCCTCTGATGACAAAGACACCTCCAGTGTTGGGCAGAGGGAAACAGACAAATAAGGAGTCCATGTATTCAGCAAAGATGAAGAAGGTTGTCCTTCAGCATCCAATCCTCCTGCCCAGTGAGAGGTGGAGTTCTGACAGCGTTGCTGGTGCTCAGGGGCAACAAAGGTCCCCATACTGTCCCACGTGCTGCCCAGCCTTTCACCAGACACATGCTGAAGCAGTTGCTGCACAGGAGGAGGCGGGGCAGGGCCCCCAGGTGCCTTGCTAGGTCCAGCGCAGACACACTGGAGGCTTTGACCTGCGGTCATCTGTAGCAAATGTGACAGTGTTTTCTATTGGATTGATTCTGTTAGAGTAATAGTCCACATTTGGGTGATTTATCTGTATTGCATTTTGTGGTATTTAATATGCATGTCAGTGAAAGTCATTTATTTACTGGAAAGTAATGTTTGTCATTAACTGTTCGACATTTTGTTTTGCTTTGTTTGAGACAGTCTCACTCTGTCGCCCAGGCTGGAGTGCAGTGGTGCCATCTTGGCTCACTGCAACCTCCGTCTCCAGGTTTAAGCGATTCTCCTGCCTCAGCCTCCCAAGTAGCTGAAATTACAAGTGTCTGCCACCACACCCAGCTAATTTTTGTATTTTTAGTAGAGATGGGTTTTGCCATGTTGACCTCAGGTGATCCATTCACCTTGGCCTCCCAAAGTGCTGAGATTACAGATGTGAGCCACTGCGCCCAGCTCAACGTGTTTTTCTAGCCTCTTTATAAAGTGGTTTGCCAAGAACTGGCACTGTGCTGCAGCAGCCAGATGAGGTCAGGTTGATGATTAACTGTAACCAAGCAGAGAAACCAGGTGTCGTCATTTGAAAACTTGGAGGGAAAACTGATGGATGTTTTGGTTTTGGTTGTAGCTGAGATGAATCACTTTCACAGTAACCGGATCTATGATTACAACAGCGTCATCCGCCTGTACCTGGAGCAGCAAGTGCAGTTTTACGAAACGGTGAGTGAGCGTCCGTGTGCCTTTTGCATGTGCTCCAAGAGCAGGTTCCGGTAAACCACTTTGACCACGTAAAGTTAATCTGTTTATCGTCTTTAATCCTAAGTAATAAAGGAGCCTGAATTTTGGACAGGATTTGTTTTTTTAATCTCCTAATTCCATCCGCCCTTTGCTTTTTGGATAACACTGGGTTAAAAAGGTTTTCTCCTGAAGAAGGGGTCTTGGATGCTAGTTGCAAGGCCCCAAGAAGTTCCTTATTGTGCGGCCCCTTCCCCTCTGTCACAGCCTCTCTGTGCCTCTGTGCACCAGGAACGGTGCTGAATGAGATGAGGTCACCCAGCCGTCCCTGGGGCTCCGGCGGCAGCTGGAACAGGAGCCTGGCACCACACAGGAAACCAAAGGCAGCCTGTGCTTTTTGTGAATGAGGTTTTCACAGTGCACCATGGAAATCGCAGAGAGAAAACAAAAAAAGCAAGACCAGGAATGGTTCTATTCACAAAGTAATAATGAAAACTTAAATTTTCTTACCTCTGCCTAGTAATTTTGTTGTTAACCAGAGTATATAGAACAAAGATCCAGTAGCATGTTCACCTAGGCACCTGCAGGTAAGGTCTGTAATGGAAAATCCAGCCTCTGCTGGCTGCTAGCTGCCTACCCAGCTCTCCTCTGGCCATGAGATCTAAGCCACGTTCAAAGGGAGTGGGGAGCCAGCATTCTACTCACAGCCACGCTGGTGGCCTCTGCGAACTGGACGCTGCTGAAAACCCCTGTCTCCAACAGTCAGTTCTTCAAAGGGAGCTGTGCTTGATGTGCCTAATGCGTGTTTGTGAATTGTGTCTTGGACAGTTAGTTTGGGTGACTAACTTATGGGAGGAAGTCACCTAAGCCCTGTCCTCCCTTACAGGACATGGGGCCGGTGCTCTGTCAATGCACACCTTCCCTCCATTGGTGCCGTTCTATGTCTTTCATTGTGTATTAGAATAGAGCAGAGTGTATTTGTGTGAGAAAATAATGCAAGGGCAACTCAGAATTTTGAAAATGTTGGTTTGTTGATTTTCAAGTCCAAGTGTAGTATCGTTATTTATGACATTGTCATTCAGAATCGAAAACCATGTATTTCATCACTGTCTTTGCATAAACCTAAGTGGCTGATAGAACATTGCCAGGTTTTAGATCTAATGCTTTATGGCAAAGTAACCCTTAAGTTATTAAAATGTGCATGTGTTCGTGGGCGGACATGTGTTGAGTGTTTCTTATATACCAAGCCCTCACTCCAGATGCTTAGTGTCCCAGGATGGATGAGACAGCCATGCCCTCCAGGAGCAGGAGGCCCAGCACATAACCTTGTTAGCGTCACAGGCAGGCTTGTGCTGTTTGCACACTTTGCAGTGACAGAGCAGGTGTGGCCAGGGCAACACGACCTTCAGGGGAGTCTGGAAGCTTATACTCCTCCAGGAAAGGAGGGGGCTCTAGGCAAGCGTGATGGCCTGTGCCCCCGGCTCATCCGAGGAAAAGCAGGGGGTCTGGAAGCCCCACTAGGGCAGAGGTGGGAGCACGCATGGACGCCTCCTGGCTGGAATGGACCTCAGGGCCAGCTCAGGCCCCAGCACCACCAGCGCCTTCTGGGATTCAGGTCTCTCCAGCAGCAATGCAGGGCGGGGCTGGTGCCAAAAAGACCAGTTAAAGAATTGGAATGTGTGTAATGTTGAAATTGTTAGAGTTGTGAGTATTAGAACCCTGCGAGGCCATAACTGGAGTGCTATCTCAGTGTGGTTTTGTTTTGCTTTCTTGTCAGATTGCAGAAAAGCTGAGGCAGGCCCTCAGCCGCTTCCCGGTGATGTAGGACCCAGGCGGGCTTGCAGAGAACGTGGAGCGCTTCCTCCTGACTTGGGGCAATGCAATTCAAAACTTTTCCCCTATTATTCAGAAAAAAAAGGCAACAAAACCAAAAAGAAACAGAGTTGCAAAAAAATGCATTTATTTCATTAACCAGCCTAAATGCAGCAGCTATTTAGGGATGGTCTTTTGTTCATTTCCACATCCATTATTTAAACCAGTGGCAATTGTCTCTATTTTTAGAAAATACTTAAAAGTTACCAGAATTTTCCATTGAAAGGGGTTTCTCCCCACTGATATTTTACATAGTCATAATTTATAAGTCTCCCACAATCTTCCAGTTCTTACCCAGCGTCAGATCATTACTAATTACTTTCTTAAAAATATGAAATATGCCAGAATAAAAATCTATATATGTTTGTCTATTTTTATAACTCCTCAGTCCTCTGGGTTCCTCTCATGGAGGGAGTCTGCATGCCTTTCACTGCCACAGCCACAGCCCAAGTGCATACACTTCCTGAGGAAGGGTGCAGGGGCCGGGGCTGCTAGCGCCTTCACAGGTGCATGGCAGGCGGGCCATCCCGTGTCCCTGCAGGGGGACCCCGCAGCCTGGCGGATGAGCAGATACCGCGGCCACCCGTGTCCTCAGCATTATTTCTGACGTCTTGCTCTTCTGTGAGGACCAGCGCTTTCTCTCTTTGCACGGCCTTCCTAATCACCATTAAGGCATGTTCTGTGCCATAAAGAATACATTCAAAGAATTGAGGGACTTTTTTGAGAGTTCTGAGGCTTTGGCCTGACGGGTGAGTGGCTGTGCTGATGCCTGCGCGCCGGAGGGCCGGGGGGAGCGAGCACACTTCTTGGCCCCTTCTTGCTCTTGGGCTGCTCACCAGCTGTGATGAGCAGCACTGCCGTGGGCGTGACACACTGCTTTGGATGGTGGGCTCATGGCCACTTGGTGTCTTCAGCAAAGAGAAAAGGCAGAGTTTAGCACCCCTGCCCTCTCCATTCAATGGAAAAGGTTGCAGCCTGAACAGTGTGCAGAATCCCTGGGGCTCTGACGCTGGAGAGAAAGTACAGGCCAGTGCCCTTCCCAGCTACACCCGAAACCTCAGACGAGACGTTTCCGAGCACCAGCACTTCAGCTCATGGCATAAAGCGAAACAGGAGCTTGGCGCAGCGTCAGCTCTAACTCTGAACACTGGCAGACACCGTCTCGCTCCTGCGGAGGAGCGCTTCCGTCTCTCACAGGTGCCTTACCGCGCGCCCTCCCACTGCTTTCGTCTTGCTGACCTAATAATGACAGGAAGTGGAAAGTCTGGGCCAGAGTAAATAAAATGAAACCAAAAATAAGATGAGGAAATCAAATGAATATGAGAACATCTTGTTCTTCAGTGTCACGGGTTTTTGCTAATGTTTCGTAAGTAATTTTCCCCACTTGATTTTTCTTCTATAAAATCCCTAGAACAATGTTTATGCTACAGCCATTTAATATATGTACAAATTGTAAAGAATATGTATAAATGTTTTACACGAATATAAGAGCATGTAGAAGCCAACGTATAAATAAATTGTTTAAAAAATACTGTACAGTAAATTCTCAAAGCACTTTTTCAAAACACTTTCTGGTCTTTGTGTGTGATTTTTGTTGTTATTAAGTACTACTTACTCCAGCTGCTGAAAATGGTCCAGGTAATGAATTCTTCTCCATATGCTGTTTCTGCTGACATGAAGTCATCATTTCAGTTCCTTAAGTCAGTGTTGAAGTCCCACGAGCATCATACACACCAGGGAGTGCAAGAGCAGACACTCAGGCCTTGTGTCCGCCCCCCGGGTATTCGGATTTGACTGGTATGAGGCAGGGGCCAGGAAAGTGAAAAGGGGCTGGGGAAAAGGAGATGGCATGGGCTCTTCAGAGCGGTGGTAGCCAACTGCGAGCCAGGAAAAGCAGAGAAAATGTGAAAGAAAACAAGAGAATCCACGGGTTTGATACCTGAAGATCCTCCTTCAAGTATCAAAGTGTTTATGACATAGCGTATATATCCTTCTCAGGGGGTCACATGCACCATGTGGTCCTTAGACATGTTACTGTTTTGATTTTTAATTATTTGTATCAACCTGTAGATACTACAGAAGAGCTATAGTTGTACAATCATTAACTTTTACAAATACAGTGGAAAAAAACCTAAGTATTTGGAGAGGAGAGATGAAGGTATGGTGGGAGAAAAGGTCCGTCTCCTCAAGCAAGTGACACCAGTCGCCTCCCACCAGGAACAGCATTCCAGGATGTCAACCCACTGCGTGGTTGTAGGTGTTGGGGTCACCAAGAAAGAGGACTCACAGAGGCACGGGGTGGAACAACGTGGCTTTGTTCATTTTCTTATTGGTGACTTTATTCACTTTCTTCTTTCTTTCTTTCTTTTGGTAGCTTTATTCATTTTCCTATTCTGTCATTTCAAAAATGTTTTCTTGCAAAGGACCTACTGGATGTGGGATTTGACGTTGCCATGCTTACAAGCAAGTAAGTTAGTCAGTCTGTTGCTGTTCCGTGGATGCTGGCAGGGGACATGAGACTCCTGGGTGTACTCACATAGAGAATAGACAGCATGATCTACTTCTGTCGTGGGCTTCAGCCCCGGGTGCCCCCCAACACCCGGTGGGCAGGGTTGACAGGCTGTGCACAACAGCCTCTCCCAGCGCCACTGGTCCACATCTTCACTGAGGGGAATCCATAGATCCCTACCTAACAACTGGGAATCCAGAAGCTCACAGTCTACTTTAGTATGCATTTATTTTTGAGACAGCCTCGTTCTGTGGCCCAGGCTGGAGTGCAGTGGCCTTACCTCAGTTCACTACAACCTCTGTCTCCCGATTTAAACAATTCTCCTGCCTCAACCTCCCAAGTAACTGGGATTACAGGCACACGCCACCACCACACACAGCTAATTTTTTTTTTATTATTATTTTTAGTCAAAACAGGGTTTCACAATGTTAGCCAGACTGGTCTTGAACTCCTGACCTCAGGTGATCTGCCCACCTCAGCCTCCCAAAGTGCTGGGATTACAGGCATGAGCCACCACACCCAACCTCACAGTCTATAAAGTAGTGAAAGTGAAAAATGAGAGATTGCTGAGTGGAACTCAACAGTGATGGATGAGAAGGGTCCTTTTTTTCCTCTGTGTGTCTCAAAACAAAAAGCGATTGAAAATTGAACAGGTTGGAAAAATTGAGTTATACACACAGAGGCTGTGTAACTCAATTTTTCCAACCTGTTCAATTTTAAACCCCTTTCTTTTTTAGATGGAGTCTTGCTCTGTCACCAGCTGGAGTGCAGAGGCACGATCTCTGCTCACCGCAGCCTCCACCTACCAGTCTCAAGCGATTCTCCTGCCTCAGCCTCCTGAGTAGCTGGGACTACAGGTGCACGCCACCACACCCAACTGATTTTTTTATTTTTAGTAGTGACGGTGTTTCACCATGTTGGTCAGGATGGTCGTGATCTCTTGACCTTGTGATCTGCCAGCCTCTGCCTCCCAGAGTGCTGGGATTAACATGCATGAACCATCACTCCCAGCCTGATTTTAAATCCCTTTCTGCAAGCAAGTAGAAGGCATGAGTTTCCCCTTTGGGGAGAATGTTTTTCTGTGGGTCTCTTGCACTCCATCTGGCTTTTTTGCTGTGTCAAGAACACAGATCCCTGACTGCTCTTCACCCAGGCCACCCCTCCACACTGTGTGTGTAGCAAGCAACTTGAGGGACAAGGTCACGTCTTGGAAGGAGCACAGGCTTGCCTACTGCTTGCTATAAAACAGTGGGTTTTCCAGCTCCACGTCCTCCTCTAACAACCCACTGTTGGGGCAGGCACCCTCTGGCTACTCAGGGTTCCACCAAGGGACTGGCTGGGCAAGAACTGGAGCCCGTGCTGCTTGTCGAGCTATGGCTCATCGGGTCCTTTGTCTCTGACCCGGGAGTCTCGTGCCTCCTGCCGGTGTACATGAAACAGTAACAGACTAACTTAATTGCTTCTAAGTAGGGCAACATCAAATCCCAGACCCAGCAGGTACTTTTGTAAGAAAATATTTTTTAAATGACACTAAATAAAGCCACCAAAAAGACGGACGCTAGCGTAGACTGCTGGAAGATGAGGAATGGTCTTTCGCATCCCGTCAGCATACAGTGAAAAGAACCAGAACAAGTTGAGATTTCATCAAAGCAGAAACGAGAATGTTTGGAATGCATTGGCAATTCAAAGGACAAAAAGCAAGGTTGTCTGAAGATCATGAAGCCCCATGGGACAAGATGGCTTAGTTTCTAAGCTTGGAGGTCTTTGGGTGGGATCCATATCTTTAGAAAAAATTGCCAAATCCAGTGAATCAGTCTGTAGGATTTGCAGAACTCAAGAGAGAGAATGGCAGGTCGTGTGAGCTTCAGTCCAGGAACCATGTGAGCTTTGAAAGAACCACTCTTTTGAAGTACTATTTTTTAAAGGTTGGGCAACTTCCCACCTGGCTTGCCTCTGAGTGGAGGAGGTACCTAGTGCTGGGTGAGGGAGGCCAAGGGTTTGGCTTAGGGGATGCCATTAATTCTGGAGAGAAGCCATTGACTGAACTGAAAAATGCTAGGTTATCAGCAAGCTGGAGTTTCACCCTGCTCCACTGGGTATGAGGTGATGGTGAGCATGGGCATGGGTGACTGCCACCACCAAATGTCCAAGGCTGCAGGGAACAGGTAGCCCCATCAGTTGTCCTTAAAACTAGTTCTCAACCAGAAGTCCTCTTGCTCTTCAGTATTCGGCTGCTTCTGGAGACAGTTGCTGAGGGATGTTACTGTCATCTAGTGGATCCTACAATGCACAGCACAGCCTCCGTGATAAAGAACTATTTGCCCAAAATGTCAGTGGTGCCAAGGTTGAGAAGCCTTGCTTTAAAGCAGACAACTGCTATTTACCTAGTGATAAATAGGCATTTTCAGGTACATACAGAAGGAGCTCAATAAATGCCTGTGGATAAGGGTAAAAAACCATTATCAATAAAATCTGAGAGACCAGGGTAGTGCAGAAATAGAGTGATGGAGGAATCTCTCAAGGGTGTTGAGGATTCAGCTTCTCCATTTGTTTTTTGGGGATGTGATTAGGAGTGATCTTTATTATAAAATCATGGTTTTTGGAATTTTTTTTTAAATGAGGTCGTATTATAAAAAAAAATTTAAGCTGTTAGATTTGGTTTCCCAAATCACATGTTGACTAAACGTTCACTAGTACCGACTGTGAACCAGGCACTGATTTTCCTTTCCACATACAAATATCATTTCATGCTTATGTCGACCCTGGGATGTGAGAACTGTTAAAAGTTTGGAGACTTTCCTTCCAGCGAAGAAACACTTGGTAATGTAAAGAGAATTGAATTGTCAGGAGCCAAGGGTCCCAACTTGGATACCAGCATCTGTCCCCTTGAACAAGTCGGTGAGCTCTTGTCTGCTCATCTCCAGAGCGCAGGGATGAAAACAGATACATCCAAAAGCCCTTCCCACCTGTGGGACCCTCCCTGCATCACTTAGAGAAGAGCAGGGGTGTGGTCCCAGGCCAGGGACTCCTGGCTTCAGCCAGGGGCAGCACCTCTGAAACAGACACCCAAGGCCTGCCTACCAAGTGTCCCGTAGGTGACCCTCACAGTAAGAGTCACCTACAAAGGTGGGAGATGCTCTTTTTCCCTTGTTTCAGTACCTTATGGAGACATGGATTTCTGCTTATTCCATGTGTTACAATTATTTGCAGACATAATTTTTAGATCCTCATATGTCCCAAATTTGACCGTTGGGAATCTCTCATGTGAATTGATTACTGTGGTCTCATGTAATTTTGTATCCTTTATCTGTGCTTTCTTTGTGCTTTTTCATGCTGTGGCAGTCTTCCTAATGACCATTTTTAAATGACTACGCATAAGTCCACGTACCAGTTTCCAATAGTTAGACATTTAGATGTAAAATTTTTCTTTAGCTTTTATTTCTAACTATATCAGTGAGCACTAATGCACCATCATCATGGGGTAGTTAAGACTACAAGTATTTTTTTAAAAATTTTATTGTAAAATATGCATAGCATGAAATTTACCATTTTAGACATTTTTAAGTGCACGGTTCCGTGGCATTAAGTGCTTTTACATTGTTGTGTAACCATTACCATCATCCATTTCCAGAACTTTTTCATCTTCCCAAACTGAAACCCTGTACCAATTAAACAGTAATTCCCCATTTCTCCTCCTCCCACCCTGGCACCCACCCTTCTACTCTCTGTCTCTATGATTCGACTGCTCTAGGGACCTCGTAGGTGGAATTAGATGATATCTGTTCTCTATGACCTAGTTCACTTAGCATGATGTCTACAGAGATTTCTCCATGTGATTTCTCATAAGAATTTTGTAGGTTTGATTCTGAAAAGACAGTATTTTTGAAGTACAGTCTTAAAACAGAGACCTACTCAAACTATTCCAAAAAATAAAGGAGATAATACTTCCAAACTCATTCTACTAGGCCAGTATTACCCTGATAACAAAACCAGCCAAAGACACATCAAAAAAAAAAAGAAAACTACAGGCCAGTATCTGTGATGAATATTGATGCAAA